GTGACCCGCGTCGTTTCAGGGAGTGTGTCCGTAACCCCACGGGAGTCGCTCGGTCGATCAGATCCTTGACCTTCTTGACGTCTCTGGGTAGGACAAGCCATCGAGCGATATGCCGACTCGCCCTTACCCGCCTGTACGATACAGGCAGTATCTGTCGGCGATGTATGGCTATGCGTGCGATTGACTATCGCCCATTTAGCCTTACAGGTTCTGTACTACAGGGAGCGAACAGCGCAGACTCTGCGCCGCAGAGCGGGTTGGCAAACGGAGCCACGTGGCGTACCCGAATTGATCGATGTTGTTGCGTGAATTGAGACATACGACCACGACGCCACTCTCGGTTCCAAAGTGGATGTCAACGCACAGGAGGGCTGGACACTCTCGACACTTCAGCAGACCGAGAGGGCAGAGTTGTATGGCCACGACGTTGGCGGGCTCTCCCTGCACGCCGTTTGTACCGGGTGTACTCATTACTCCAAGCACCCTCTGTAAATCCAAACAGGAATCGTTAATCCAAGCTATACCCCTAAATCCAAACAACGTTGCAGCTGAGCGATATTGAGTATGGATTAAAAGGCGAGCGAGCGTAGCGAGCTCGTAGGAAAATTATCAGCAGTAGTTTATGCTTTTGCGGTTCCTTCCGTGTCGTATTTTACTGCATATCCTATACGAATACATCATGAAACTTAGAACTCTTAAATTAGGGGCAGAAAACTTTCAAGCCAGAAGTTCCGACGAGCTCACTTTATTCAACGAAGGTACAGGATGGAACTATTATCGCATACATTCTGATATAGTTGTTCATTGCCTGCTGTTAGCTCTGACATTCATACATTATACCGTATAATATACGTATGATTTATACGTATTGCACGGGGTTGACATTGGTTAAGATGTTACGGTACGCTATTGCGTGGGCTGAACATTATTTCAATTAATTCGTAGACATACAGTCCTCTGCCGCATTTCCGTTTACCTGCAGCAGCTATTCAGTGGATGCAGTTGTTAGAATCTAATTCTCGATCAAAAATATGGCACGTTGCAATTGGCAGATAATTCGCTGCGGATGTCAAAAGTCCATTGCGAAAGGTACTTGTAAAGCATGGGAGTAATCGCCTACAGAGTACGCCGTATAGTGTACGGCGTACAGTGTACGCCGTACACGCTCTATAAACTGCGGTGAACTGATCGCTGCTCCTCCGAATGAAAGCCGAAACGATGATCCGGTGACGCTCACTATACCGAATTACAGTTGTAACCGGTCGACACTATCATATAGTGTCACTGTGAGGAAGCCGTGGAAGAATGCGCAGTTTATTTAGCGCGCGCCTCTAGAGGACATTTGTAAGATAGCAAGATAATCAGCGCATGTTCATCCGGCGCATTATGCGCCTTGCCTCAGGCGAGTTGCCTGTGAACTGTTTCGAAGTTTGACATGCACTTCAGGACCAACGTTTCAGGACTAGAAGTTTGTCATCGTAACTGTATCGTCATGGGAGTCTCACACTGTCAGGGATTGATGATGCTCCATGGTCTGCGCGCGCGCGTGTAGTCCGTGATGCGTCACCTTTTTCATTTGTTCGTGGGTACATGATAATAGATGCCCGATTCATGACCGCAGATGGGACTAATGGTGAGAGTCAGTGTTTTTTACCCTTTTGAGATAATCATGGCATCGGGTGCTACAGTCGGAAGAGCAGCAATACCAACACTCACTGATGTGCCTCTCCAAATTCGCTGCGTAATAATTTCCATCGCGAATTTCATGTGCTATCATCGGGATGATGGTGCCCATAATACGAGTTCTGATGTGATGGGACTCCGCTGTGGTCAAAGATTTAAGCAGGATGACCTAGTCGTTCCTTTTACACAGTTTGTTACTAACGCGCCTGATAGAGTGTTGCGGCGTGCCTAGCCTTTGCTGGGTTGCGTTAGCCCCTGTAGCGTGCCTGACCTTTCCTGGTAAGAATTGCGTTAGACCATTACAGTGTGCCTAGCCTTTTCTTTTATGGATTGCGTTAGACCATTACAGTGTGCCTAGCCTTTCCTTTTATGGATTGCGTTAGACCATTATAGTGTGCCTAACCTTTCCTTTTATGGATTGCGTTAGACCATTATAGTGTGCCTAGCCTTTCCTTTTATGGATTGCGTTAGACCATTGCAGTGTGCCTAGCCATTTCTTTTATGGATTGCGTTAGACCATTATAGTGCGCCTAACCTTTCCTTTTATGGATTGCGTTAGACCATTATAGTGTGCCTAACCTTTCCTTTTATGGATTGCGTTAGACCACTGTAGCGTGCCTAGCCATTTCTTTCATGGATTGCGTTAGACCACTATAGCGTGCCTAACCTTTCCTGGTATGAATTGCGTTAGACCACTATAGCGTGCCTAACCTTTCCTTTTATGGATTGCGTTAGACCATTATAGTGTGCCTAGCCTTTCCTTTTATGGATTGCGTTAGACCATTGCAGTGTGCCTAGCCATTTCTTTTATGGATTGCGTTAGACCGTTATAGTGTGCCTAGCCATTTCTTTCATGGATTGCGTTAGACCACTATACCGTGCCTAACCTTTCCTGGTATGAATTGCGTTAGACCACTATAGCGTGCCTAACCTTTCCTTTTATGGATTGCGTTAGACCACTATAGCGTGCCTAACCTTTCCTGATATGAATTGCGTTAGATGATTATAGGCCTTTGGACCCGAATTTCGGGTTTCATTTGAAACCGAACTGTGTTAGACCCTTGAAGTGTGAGACCGAATTGTGTCAGACCGTTGTTGTATGTTGATTTTCTCTGATTTCATGTACTATACTTTACATGTGATTCACATGATGTGAACTGACTGTTTCAATGAGAGTTATTTATCAACTTGCGTATATCCTCACAACATGACCACTCGATATCTTATCACTCAGTGACGTTCTTGTCGTTGGCAGGAGTGTTTCTCGTAATGTCTAATGTAAGCGCATCTGCTAAACGACGTGCACGAGCGAAGAATACAAAGGAGCGGTTGTTTGCTGGAGCTGTAGGATTTTCTGGAATTTAAGCTCAGTACCGTTGAACTCTATATCATAAACCAATATCAAACAGTTTGATTCAAATCATTGTTCCTCGGAAGGTCCTACGACTTGCTATAAATATTTGCAATTGTGTCTATTATGCTCTTCAGAACGATGCTGAGGGACATAGGAGCAAGCCTGAAGATCGCTGTGGTCAGCTCAAGGAGACGCGAGTAGTAATATTGTGTGCCCACGTCATCATATCCATGATGTCGAAAATTCACGAATGTTGCAGAACGTTGATCAACTAGCTAGAGAAATTCTGCCTTGAAGGACAGTATAGCTGATCGAAATATGCTCCGTGAGAGCCTGGAGAAGGTGAGGATTCAATTCATTCTACTACTATTACTACCGGCCATTGTCCTTGCTGTGACACTATTCTATTAGTGTGGTAAGGTACAAACTGCTTCGGAGGACTGCGAGCAGGAGATGCAAAAGCTGAAGGTTCAACTGCAGAGAGCGTCAGATGTAGGTTCTCCAATTGTTTTGATATTGATGTTACAGATTGTAGACTTCCGGTAACAGGACGGAAGCATTGATTAGCCTATGGCATTTATTAGGCGCCAATCATAATTTTTATGATTTCTCTGTTTATAATTTCGGGTGTATAGCCGTTATCTTCTATGATTGAGGCTCGTAGCCCTCCCGAATTTATAGTTGTCGCTCTTTTTGTCAGTGTCATTGACTCAATCAGATTGAGGACTCGTCTACATTCTTGGCATTAGGACCTCGGATGTGCGAAGGCTGCTAGAGTTCGCGCTGAGAAGGAGTCAATATCTTTGAGCATTCAAGTGCAAGAGAAGACCAGGGAGCTCAAGCGGGGTGTACTCATTACTCCAAGCACCCTCTGTAAATCCAAACAGGAATCGTTAATCCAAGCTATACCCCTAAATCCAAACAACGTTGCAACTGAGCGATATTGAGTATGGATTAAAAGGCGAGCGAGCGTAGCGAGCTCGTAGAAATTATCAGCAGTAGTTTATGCTTTTGCGGTTCCTTCCGTGTCGTATTTACTGCATATCCTATACGATACATCATGAAACTTAGA